TATTCTTAGTTTTCTTTAGGCTGCTAGGCTGCTAGGCTGCTAGGCTGCCAGGCTGCTAGGCTGCTAGGCTGCTAGGCTGCCAACTTCAGGCTGCCAGGCTGCTAGGCTGCTAGGCTGCCAACTTCAGGCTGCTAGGCTGCTAGGCTGCTAGGCTGCCAACTTCACGAACATAAAAATTGAATATTTTTTCCAATTCTAAAGATAAAACATTGCAACATTATATAATGCAGTTGTATAAATGTTAAAACATGCTTTTATCAAAACGTATGTTAGATTTGTTAGATTTAGCCTTATTGATTGTTTTTTTTCACAGCGTTGTTTAATATTGATTGCTTTTCCAGTCGTAGTATAATCGTTTAAAAACTTTTGAAAGTGAAAATAAATGGTGTAGGTTTAAAATGAATCAGTTAAAGCTAAACACACTGTAATATTGTCTTTGATTTATAGATTACCTGATTTATTTTATCTTATTTCATTTTAACAGTCATGTATAAAACAATCTTTTTATTTATTATCTCTCCATCTTTGTATTAGTAAAGGCTATTAATAGTTAAATTATCGACAAGGTTATTCATTTACCAAAGGATGATATTTGATTTCCACGAAACTATTCATTAACTTATTGTTCATGATTATGATATTGAAATATTTTTATCTTCTTTATCAACAGAAATTTTATAAAATGATCCATTTACGCGGTTTATTTTAAGAATGGAAATTCCCACCACAAGCTATTTATGTAACTAACTTCTGTTCGTAAAGTTTGCAAATAGTTAAATATTGAAACGTCATCTTACAAAACATAGATTTTAAATACATGTAGTATATAATAGCAACGGCTCTTTTTGTGTTTATAATTGTAGAAAAATATTAAGAGGATATTTTTTCGTTTGCGTGAAATATGGAATATATTTTCACGAAACATGATAAAATGCCACATATTTTCACGAGCCGGTACGGCGAGTGAAAATATGTGGCATTTTATCATGTTGAGTGAAAATATATACCATATTTCACGAAAAACGAAAAAATAATCTTTTTATTTAATTTCATTATCAAAGAAAATTGTAACGAATCCCCTTCCTTGCTACCAACTGCAATTGTACAGCGCGCAGTAATTTATGCGTAAGCACGCGCTGTTTGGCGCTACAATGTGACGTCATGTAAACAATTCTTTAAACGTCTGTACAGCGTTAATTACCGAATTAAAGATATTGGTGTTCGGATTAATTTTCTTAGTTAGACCATTTTCTATCATGCTAGATAGTTTTCAAAACAAAATTCAAGAAAAAGTTGTTTTGTATTTATCAGATTTTTCAAACAAAACGGCAAAAGAAGTCCCTTAAAATAAATATGAGTTTTGACTCCGCCCACTTTCATATTTATATTTCATATTTATTTTTAAGAAATATGAAATATATTTGACTGATATAGCACCATATTTCATGGGTAAAATTAAATATAGAAAGATATTTCACTACCTAATATAATTTGCTTAGTTCATATGCATACGGAATTAACCAAACGTTATTTTATATCATACTATTGTTGAGTACAATATTGAATTCCATCAGACTGGTACACAGCTGACAAACCTATATTGGACGAGACATTTGCAGTCTCATAAAGGTTTTGTAGCTTTGTACGAGCTCGAGTATTCTAGTCAGCAATCTATTTTCACACGCCAAGTTTTGTTTTTATTTTGCTGGGGGACTTTGGATTCTTTCATGTGAGAAAGCTATCCAGCTAGCTTAAGGAACGTCGGTGGTTCTATTCAGATTGCACCTCAAGTCTTCCTCCACCAGTAAAGCTGGAACGTTGCCAAATGACCTATACTGTGCCGGTGTGACGTAAAACCGAATCAAAAAAAAAGAGACAAAATTTGTATTTTGCTACTTAAATTACAGTATGAATTTCTTTGGAATCTAAAAATGAATAAGAGGCTAGACAGTGGTGATTTGGGTTGGGGGATTGTGGCAGATATCCAATGGTAACTGCTAAAAGAGTAACTATTAGATATTGGTGTAGAATATTAAAGATGGACAAACAAAGATATGTAAAAAAAAACCATACAATATGATGAAATGTTTTGATAACAATGGCCAAAAAAGTTGGGTTACATATGTTAAAAATTTGCTTACGAGAAATGGACTTAGGCAAATTTGGTTTGATCAGAGTGTACCCAATGAAAAGTTATTCATTCAAACTTGGCATTCTAATGTGGGAAATAGTTCTTAACTGTCATTGTATGCAAATTATAAGTTAACTTTTGAACATGTAATATATCTGGATTGTGTAACAATTAAAAAAATTTAGAAATGCATTGGGTAAATTAAGGACCTCTCCACATGACTAAGAAATAGAAAGAGGGAGGTATTCTGACACTGAAAGAAATCAAAGAAAGAAGACTTAAAAATGTCCCCCTGGTGTCAAATTTTAACCAAATACGTTTTAATGCTAACAGGTATACATTTCGTACATTCGGTTTCTACAAACATAATGATAATAACAATAATTAGATGAAGAATCTTTATTTTGTAAATTAATTCTCAAAAGAGTCATGTACAAGCATTCATAATATATACAATTACATGTATGCATAAGTAAATTACTAATTACATAGCAAGATGACGTGACTGCAAGTATTTCTTTTCTTTCATTATTTATGGTTACCATTGAATAAATATTTCTTTTACAAGTTATTTACTTTTTAAGAGATTCTACATACAAATATATAATTGTAAGAATTTATTCATGTGTCAATAATACTTGCAATCTCGGTAGAGACAGTGTCAGCATCTATTACATTATATCCATATAGTTCGAGACAAATGTTGTTACTATGAATAATATAAGTATATAGATAATGTTCTGCAATTTATGCGAACTTTTACCCGATATATTGGAATAAACTAAGAATTAAATCACTACTTATTTACATGTTTAGTTTCTTAGAATATGTTACATCGGAATACCGTATCCGATTTGTGTATTCTTACTACTGTGTTCGAAGTTTGCCGGAAATGGCCGAGAAAATGCAATTTTCAATATAAAGCCTGCAATATATATTTTTTTAAATAATATTTATAAGATTGCAGTAACTTTACCCAATATTTTATAATTCTTACATATCATGTCACAAACAATGGCTATTTCTATTTCTTATGACTAACTATTAAACCATATTTCAACGTTATAACAAAGAATCGAACTTAAAACAGAGTTAAATAGCTGGTATAATATTTTAAGATTTAAATGGTACCTTTTTTAAATTAAAATGTTAAATATTCAATGCCTTCGTAGCTAACTGCTCTCAATAAAAAGTACCTTTTAAGTTAGAAATAACATGGGGGTAATTAAAATCATTAACAACATCCAGTTTTACATCATACACAAATCTTCATTTAGCAGTAACCCGACACGTTTACAAAAGCAACCACATTGGTCTTGTCTGTATTAAGTTCTAAGCTCCATGTAATAGAAAGAGCATCGAAACACGAGGCTATCCGACTTGTACGAGGGGGCGTAAAGTATTAATCAGATTGCAGAGTGTTTTGATGATCTTTCTCTTTTGTATCATAGTCAAACATAAAAACACGTTCCTTGTTGTCATAAAATGACACCCCAGAAAAAAGTAACCAATGATCGCTATCCCTATCCCCTTCTCTGTCGTTACAGTAAGTAAACCACAGCAAATATGAGCCAATCAACGGGCGGGTATGCTCTAGAGTGTGGGAAACTTCTGCACTGTGCATGTACATGTATATACGATTTAACTCTGTCACATTTTCAACAGAAAGGTCCCCAAACTATGATACAATTACAATGTATGTCGAAGCTCATAAGCATATCCTTAAAATAATCAAATCATTATTAATATGTAAAAGCATAAGTAGAATATCATCACTTTAAACAACACTAATTATATTCAACATCATCAATAAACAAAGAAATTCAAATCATCGAATATTACCAGCCTGGACGTTTTTCTAAACGCACATGCAAAAAATTACAAAAATTAACAACACAATGCTTTATAAAACAGTTTACCTTGTAATACCTATCTTTGACAATTCTACTATATACATAATACTGTACAAATACAAATAAATTCATTGCAAATAAAACATTAATATAATGTTTATAGCAAAAACATATATATATACATAAATATGAAATTAAGATCTAAATGGAATGAAAAAAATATCAACACTTTTTCCTGAAATGTCTTAAATTACTGAGGAAATAGCATGTTGCACAAAAATAAAATACTTAAATATGATATCAAAACTACATCATCAAGATATTATTGTGATATCGATACTACATCACCAAGATATGATTGTGATATTGATACTACATCATCAAGATATTATTGTGATATTGATACTACATCATCAAGATATTATTGTGATATTGATACTACATCATCAAGATATTATTGTGATATTGATACTACATCATCAAGATATTATTGTGATATTGATACTACATCACCAAGATATTATTGTGATATTGATACTACATCATCAAGATATTATTGTGATATTGATATTGCATCATCAAGATGTTCTCTCTTTATTTACAAAATATTAAAATATACCTAATATATTTAAAATTTCAACCCTTTCACATAAGGGTAAAAATCAAAACCATTTTTTGGGAAGTCAACAAAAAAAATTATATGTACAATTTAAAAATAATACATACACTTTATTTAAAATTGACTTTATTTAATAACATATAACAGGATTTTAAAAGGCTCATCACAAATTTTGATTTACAACGATTTATTTAAATGGGAATTCCCATTTCGAAATTTTTTATAAAAACTTTTAAAATAAGGATTAAAAGTTGAATGGGGAATTTAAAAATCAAAATTTGAAAACTTTCTTAAATTAAGGGAATGAAAATACAATTAAAATATTTTTTATAATAAACCCTTCAGGGTTTAATTTTAAATATAAAAACCCCCTAAATTTTTTTTTATATGATATTTTCACAAATATTTTAATTATATAGATAGAATAGAACAAGGCTTATATATATTTACAATAAGGAATTTTCAATTCATTAAATACAATTTAACAAACGTCAATATATAAACATAATTATATGGTCTCAAATTTACAGAAGTTTCAAAAGCCAGCTGTATAAAAATAAACACTTGTTAGATATATACATGTAGAGAATGTGATATTATAAAATCATTTTAATTTTTAAGTAAATACTACTGTTGCATAGTTTTGATGCATGGAAAAAACCTCGTACATTCCTTATTTAATTAAGTTCTTTCTTCACATCATAAGCATTCTTCACAGGACTTTTAACATTTTCTATCAGAGCAGATAAGTGTGTAAGGCTTTAAATGGGATGTTTTATAGAATGAAAACTGGATTGAAAAAAGTGGGTATAATAATGTGTTGTATGAATATTTTAATGCTTTAAATAATTAAAACATTGCTTATTTTATAGAAACAAACAATTTACTAAAGATTTGTACAACAAGTACATAATCATTTTACATATGCATAAATAGTACATACATGTATAATAAAAGTTGAACAGTGTGAGATGAAATAAACATGTTCCAATACGTTCTTCCATGAGTATTTACAATTCAAAACTTTATTTACAACACTAATACTATCACTCTAACAAAAGTAAAAAAGTATACAGCAGCAGGTAATCTCATGTACAGACATTCATAGAATAATATCAATCGTGAATATTAGAAAAAGCGAAACATAAATGAGCATATTTAAATGTATGATGATGACAAAGGTATCACAAAAGAAAAAATTTTAAAAAAATGTTGAGCATAACTCACAAGAAAGTCGGCTTCTTTGAAATGTTTAAATGTTCTCCTGACATATATTTGTTTTCTTGTGTCTTGAAAAACATGAAGATGAGCTTTCGTATGGAACTTATGTACTACATGAGTTTATCTTATCGAAATGGTTGTTCTATTTTGATCGGAACTTCTTATTTGCTTAGCATTTGCTTAACTATTTAAAATGTGCTGTAAAAATGAGAATAAGACAAACGAGTGCAGTTTCTCCATGGTAACAGTGTCCTGTTTTCATTACTATCAATAGTGTTTGTTTATTTTGCTCAAAACAAGCTTTTCTATCAAATAAATCGTCTCTGTGTTGCTGACACTATATTTCGTCCTGAAAAAGTATTTTTCTATATTAAACATCATATTATTATATTATCATATATTATGGTCCATATTATCATATTATATACAATTTGTTATCATAAATATTATCATGAATCCTATCATAACATGAAATTTTATTTCTTATCATATCATATGAAACTTAATCAGATACATATAAACAAAACAATTTATCCTTGATTGTTTTGATTTATATGTATCCAAATTTCTAACATTACCGTTAAACATTAGTCTCACGTTGACATATATATTCATTTATATGTATTATACTAGATGATGTACTATGTGTCAATCTGAATAAATTATCTGCTCTGCTCTGTTCTAGGAATATCATTTTATATATGATATATCATATAATGTTATCATTGCTAATATAATTATAATTATATTAACTTGTCAGGTCAGACCCAGTAGATTAAAATAGATTTAAGCATTCTCTAGCGCTGAACATGTTGTTTCTTAAAGCAGCACGCCTCCAGATTTATGCTTATTTTCATGAAAATTTTGAAATTGAAATTAAACGTAAAATATTGTATAGTAACCAAAAGGAAGCAATTTACACATTATCAATGGCAATAATAACCTACTATAATTACAAAAAGAGGTCAAAATATGCTAAAATGCCCTTACTGCTTTAGTAACGCAGTAGAAATATAGTGTTACAGATAATGAAAAATTCACCATTGATTGCTTATAACATGACTCTTGAATCTTTCTTCTTTTACTAAAATCTTCGTACATTTTTCACCAGTTTGATTTATTGAAATATTTTCACTCATCTGGAGGCATGCTGCTTTAATTAATTCAATTGGAATGATTATATTAATTCATTCAATTAGATCGTTACAATTGTTTACCTCACTACTTTCTGCAGGACTGTCAGGAGGAATGTTATCATCGGTTTTGTTAATGTTTGCTGTCACATGCTTTGATCTTATCTTCGTAATATTCCCGTACTTTTTATTTACAATATGAACTTTTTCTGGAGCTAAATTAGATATAATTTATTTAAATACGCATTATGAAACAAAACACGTTATTCTTTATTTATACACTCTATTTTATTTATTTATTTATTTATTTATTTATTTATTAAATTAATATAAACTAAAGCTATAAATTCTTACTTGTAATTCTTCATATTTGACTGCTGTCACTTTTATCTTAATATATTAACATGTCTACAAATTAACATCAAAACTAATGACAACTACCTTTATTGTTGTTGTTGCTGCTGACGAGTGCATCGTATTGTTTGACAAGTAAATACAGTAGTAGAACTGAAAGTATATCAGTTTAAACTGGTTTAAAAGACAGTATATAACGTGTCTATGAACTCGTATGAGAGAAATAAGATACTGCCCGACTATATTTACAACAGTCAGTAATAGTTTACGATTTATTCTACAACACAACTGACCAAATTATTGTCTTGTCAATAAAATTTTGGCTTTGAATTTTTAACAACGATAAAAAAAGTAATTAAAGATACCCATCGCATATGTCAAATATTTTAAAACAAAATGATCTTACCAATCATACATATCAGCGCAAAAAGCAGTGTATCTTTAACAACGTCATCATATGGGACTGAAAAACATTATAGCGAAATAGTAATGTTAAATTGTATCAAACGAATAATATGTTCCATAATCTAGAACTATAAGAAAAATTCAATTCCTTAAGTACAATAATTCAATTCCTTAATTACTTTGTATAATGACATAATAAATGTTTATTTATTTATATGTTCATCTCTCCTAATTCATTGCAGATTTGCATTCCCGTAATGCAAATTGTGGTCATGATGTCATTAAATTAATACATGAAGCTTATCAACTAAATGTCTAACTCAAGTGTTAACATGCGGGACATAAACTCCTTTATGGCAGTATATTACATCATGTAGTAGTATGGAAATAATGAATGCCTACTTGATATGAGCCGCCGTGTTGGATATGTTGAATTCACACCGTCCACTTGACTGATTACTGTAATATCGTATTGCATGCCAGGTTTAAGGTCTACCAACTGATACCTTATTTTATTTTGAGCATATGGAACAGCCACATATATATCCCTCCTACTAATTCCTGCAGCTGTAGAGTTATAGCTTACATAATAACCTTCAACTTTACTCATTGCGTCGTTTTTGAACCAGATTATTTCCCTCTCAGAATCCAGATCGCCTCCCCGCACTAAGAACTCGTGTAACTCATCAGGTGGTAGCGGTGCTATAATGTAAAATGCCTTCAATATTTATATTAAATAATAATTTCTATGGCTTTACATCAAAATGCAATAAAATATGAATATACAAAAAAGTTTTTAGTTTTACTGTTCCATTTTTTGTGCTTCATTGTCTTTAACAATGGTTACTGTGTTTAATCGGTTGAACATTACCGGCGTCACAAAACGTATCACGAGTCACGGTCACAAAACGGATCACGATTCACAAAACCAAGCCACGAGCCATCAAACGGATAATAAGCCATGGGTCACAACACGGAACAAAGACACGCGCAACAACGCGGATCACGAATAGCGAAACCAAGCCAAAGGACAAAAAACCTATCACGAGTCATGAAACCAAGTCACGGGTCACAAAACGGATCACGGGTTACGAAACCAAGCCACTAGTAACAAAAAAAGCTAAAAAACCAAATTATTTTACTTTCAAATGTAGTATATGTATCGAATATCGCTTTATTGTTTTGGTAATGTATAATATGATATATACATATATGTAAAAATAAACTTACGTAAAATGATCACGACTTCACGTGTGCTGCTCTTAACGCCATTGCTGATTGTAGACACACGCCATGTATATTTTTCTCCGGGAAATGCATCAGATAATGTAACAGAGTACCTTGTGTCATACGCTTCAATCACATTTCCTTTTTCTTCCACCAAAAATTTATCAAAGTGGCAGTTAACTGGAATATACCACTCTAGGGTGACTGTTTTACCAGTTAACGTTGCATTCAATTCTTCAACAGGCTTTGGTGCTGTAAAGAAGAACAGTTTTCTCTTTTTTAAACTTACTTCTGTATAGATCTTCAAAATTGTCATATAATTGTCATATAACTTTGACCGTTTTTACATCCAAACGATATTCAAGTGACCTTTTACATAAGAAACGGACTTGAAAATAGTAAGTTTAGTTTCGTTCTTCATTTAACAAATAAAACATGGCCTTGAGGTCAAGTTTACGGACTGGTTTGTCCGACCGAGGAAGGTATATGGCCCGAGCTCTAATTAATACCAATTTACTTCGAACCCATTACACAGTAAAATCTGAAATAAAAAGGTAAATAGTTTACGCATTGTAAATAATATTATCTTACTTGTCACTCCACTTTTTAACATCTTAACAGGAACTATGACGTCATCGGTATAAAAATACCTAATCATAAAACTGAGACTGATAATGTATTTCTTTCCTGGCATTAAATTCCTAACATCGTGACATTGGCAATCACCTTCGGGATGTAAGTTTGGCATGTCGTTAATAGTTGCATTGCCTGAAGCTCGGTATGTTAGCTGAAATAATATGAGTTTAGCCATGGTGTACTATTACTGATAAGTAAAAGTTTGTTTAATATGGAAAATATGGAATGTTTTATATGTTTCATTGTATCTTCCACCAGAACATTCACCGTTCTATACTGGCAATAGAGTTTCCGGTTTAAAACAATTAGAAGATGTTATTATAAGAAACAATTTCTTAAATACTAATCTGATGCTAAATGGAGATTTCAATGCTAGAACAGGTACTTTATGTGATTTTATTATTGGTACGCAAAATATCCCAGAACTTGATGAATTTAACGATATAGTTGATGGTGATATTGGTACTTTTAGAGCTTCAAATGATACTAAAGTTAATAAGTTTGGGAGAGAGTTAATAGATTTGTGTAAAGTGTTTTCTTGTTATATCATTAACGGAAGATTTGGCAGAAGTACTGGTAGTGATGGTTTCACTTTTGTAAATCAAAATGGATGCAGTACAATAGATTATTATATCCTCACAAAAAGTTTGATGGATAGTGTAAGAAATTTTGAAATCAAAACAAATACAGAAAGTTGTCATTTCCCACTGAAAATCGCAAATATTGCTTAAAAGTTTTAGAAAAAGAAAATGTAATGAAACATTAAATGTTTATTTAGAAAGTAAACGATATTATAGAAATGTATGTAAACATAAAAATTGGTTATATACTAAAAAGTATTTATCTAAAGTAGATTCATGTGTTCATGACCCGCGTAGATTTTGGCGGGAAATAAAAGGTGTACTTATTAAATCTAAAACTGAATCTAGCATATCATTAGATGAATGGTATAATCATTTAAGAGATTTGTTTTCTAGTACTAATACAAATCAGCATAATGAAACCTGTTTAGAAGATGTAGATTTAAACACACATTTTGATGAAATTGAGCAGTTAATATTTAATTCTGATATATCTGATGAAGAGATACTGACAAGTATCAAATCACTTAAACTTAATAAAGCTTCGGGTGGTAATCTTTTGCCGCAGCAACTTGCTTACGGTATTCAATATTTATTACAGTATATTCGTAAATTATTCAATAGACTTTTTACAAAAGGTGAATTTCCAACTAGTTGGGCAATTTCAATTATTATTCCTTCACATAAGAAAGGAAGTTTAAATGATCCCAATAATTATAGGGGCATTGCACTTCTTGGTGTACTTAGTAAAGTGTATATTACAATTGTTACTAAACGGCTTACTTTTTACGCCGAAGCTTTTAATAAACTTTGTGAATCCCAAGCAGGATTCAGAGCCGGATATAGTACTATTGATAACGCATTTGTATTGCAATCTATTGTCTCTAGATATTTAAATATGAAACGTCGATTTTTGTATGTAGCTTTTATAGATTTTCAGAAGGCTTTTGATTCCGTGGACCACGCAATATTATACGATATTTTGAGAAGAGATGGAGTTAAGGGTAAATTATATAATAACAATTCAAAGTATATACTTTTCTGCTAAATCATGTGTACGTTCAAATGGGAATCTTTCAAATATTTTTGAATGTCAAATAGGACTTCGTCAAGGTTGTAGTTTGAGTCCAATTTTGTTTGCTTTGTTTATTAATGAATTGTATATTTTAATGGTGGAAAATGATATCAGAGGTATCCAACTTTTTCCTGATATTGTTGAAGTATTTTTACTTATGTTTGCTGATGATATAGCATTACTTTCAGATACTATTATCGGTCTACAAAAACAACTAAACTTGTTACAACAATTTTGCATTAGTAGTAAACTTGTAGTTAATATTGAGAAAACTAAAGTACTTGTATTTAAAAGAGATGGTCAGTTATCTAGAAGAGAAAAATGGCAGTATAATGGTAACCAATTAGAAATTGTAAGTGGTTTCACATATGTTGGAATATATTTTAGTAACAGATTATCTTTGTACAAAATGGCTGAGGCTATGGCCACTAAAGCGAAAAAAGTACTTTTGTATATGCTCAGTTCATTTCAAAATATTTCTTGTTTACCATATAAATTTTTTTTAAGATTTTTGATTGTAAAGTAGCATCCATAATTTTATATGGATCAGAATTGTGGGGTCTTAAAGACAATAAATGTATAGAAACTATACAATTATATGCTTGTAAACGTTTTTTGAATGTCAATGTTTCTGCTTGTAATGACGCTATTCTTGGCTATCTGGGCAGATACCCAATGTATATATTTGCTGCAAAACGTTGTATTAGATTTTGGTTGAGACTTATAAATCTCCCTAGAGATAGGTATACACGCTTATGTTATGAAATGCTGATGTATTATGACATAATCAGACAAGCCACACAAACACGAACATTTAGTAATTTAATTTATCACATAAACCGCGGCGCAGGAGTGTAATAAAGCCATTTAATAAAAACGATATTACACTAGTGTAATAACACTTTGACGTGACGTCATTTGCGCTATATAGAAACATAGCGATAAAGCGCGCTAATTTTAGCGTTACACTATAAACGCGTCATTGAAAAACTACTCATTTTAACAGTTAACCGTTCTTATTTTTTATATGTGATAAAAAGAATATTATATTCGTGTAGATTCAATACTAAATTTATTGAACTCGTTGAATAAAACAATATTATGCTCGCCAGAGGCTCGCATAATATGATTTTATTCAACTCGTTCAATAAATTTAGTATTAAACTACACTCATTCAATATCCTCTATTAATTGCAAACGTTTCGGCTATATGCCTACATCAGTGCAAAAACATAATAAAATTACCGGAAGCGACGTCATAACGGAACACGCGTTAAACGCGCGAAAAACGTTATGGCGTTTAGCGGCAAAACTATGATAACATGTAGAAACAAATATTTATGCTATAAATAAAGCTGGTACATGAATAAAAATGGATCAACAGTGATACAGATGTCTATTAGACAGTGTTAATAAAAATAAGATAATAGACAAACATATTAATATTCATGTAACCTATTATAAATCAAACAATACTTTATTATTTAGTCCATTTGGAATCATAGTATTTAATTTATGGATCCAAAAAGATTCTTTACATAACCGGTCCATGTTGTTGTCTATAATTTCTATAGGTAAAAATGAAAAATCTGACAATGAACACTTATTATCGTTTGATCCGAAATGGATCGCAACATGTGAAACTGGATTAACGTCACAATTTCTTATATCAAATCTATGTTTATTCATTCTTCATGATACATTTTGATTAGTCTGACCTACGTATTGCTTTTTACAGCCTTTACATGTAATGAGGTAAATTACATTACGCGTAGTACAATTAACATCATTGTGTAAATCAAAAGAACTACCTGTTATGCTGCTATTAAATTGGGAACCAACAATTATATTGTTACAATGTGAACATCTACTGTTGCTATGTATATTTATTATGCAATGAAAGAAAGGGATAATTTCCTTTTTTTTTTTTTTTTTGATGTATTATGTTTTTTTTTTTTTCACACCTCCCTTGAACAGTGATGGTTGGCTAAATCACTGCTCCTGAAAATTTCTTTAAATACAAGTTTTAAAGTGATTTTAAGAGTATGCTTTTGTTATATTAGTGTTACATATAGTGGAGTGAAACTTATATGAAAAAAGTGAAAGATTTCTGAATCAGTTTGATAGTTTAAATTTGGATTATATTGAAATATTGGATCTTTTTTGGATAAACTTTGTGAGATAAGTATACAAACTTTTTGAATCTACTTACTATTGAGAAAGTCCCCCACAAAAGTTGGATTATAAATACTGGATTATATATAAATATAGCAGACACATAATAACTTAGACTATAAAGGTCATATAAATACAGTTAAAGTACAGTTAATTGCTCAAAAGGTGTAAGATTACGCAATATTTGTATCAAAATGAATAAAGGAAAGGAGACAAAACAGAAAACTATGATTGGTGGAAGTGAAAAAGATCAGTGCAGAAAGGCAGTTAAATGTAATCAAAAAAGAGATGGACAGCCTGCAGCAAAAAGAACACACTCAGAAGTAAGCAATTGTAGTACTGAAGAGCTAGGCTACATACACTTACAATTAGAAAAATATGAGTGAGAGTTTAACTGAAGTCAGGGGTGATCTCAAGACATTAATGAAAAAAGAAGACATTGAAAAATCTGATAACAACAACAGTTACAAACATCATGGAAACTCTAGAAAAGAAACTGACTTCATTTATCAATACAAAAATAAAAGAAGAAACAAAAGAATTACAAGATAAAATAGGCAGCTTAGAATTTGAAAATGCAGAGTTAAAATCAAAACTAGATCAGATGAAAACAAAGATGGACCAACACCTGGAAAATTCACAAGAACAAATTGAAAAAAATAAATTAATGGCCCAGGAAGCAAATAAAAGAGCTAATTATAATGAGCAATATAGCAGAAAAAATAATGTTAAAATCTTAAATGTGCCAATAAAGAAAAATGAAACCGAGGATGTCTTGATAACATCTGTACAAAATATACTCGGGAAACATGAGATCACCCTAGAGAAAGAACAAATCATAGAAATTCACAGAATACCAGGAAAAACAGGTGATATTAAACCAGTGCTGATGAAATTGAAAAATAATAATGCAAAAATTGAAATAATGAGAAAACGCAGACCCCTGAAAGATGATGGCCACAGGCTAATTGATGATGTAACACAACTTAACCAGGGTTTAATCAACAGGTTGTCACTTCATCCAGATATTAGAAGTGCCTGGTTTTTTAATGGCAGTGTCTATGGTGCTACAGCAACAGGAAAAAGATACAAATTTGACATTTATGACAACATAAACTCTATAATTAATTGAAAAACAGAACTATAAAATAGAACATAAAACATGTGTACAAGAACTCTCATGTTTATAACAAAAGGAGTTTATAGTAATTATCTTGATACTGACTTGGAAATAAACTTTTCTTGCGTTCAAATGCATTGAATCCCAAGCTGTTATTACAACTACAGATCTCATATAAAATGCTGTTAAGTTATATAATG